GGGATTTTAAAACAAAGAAAAGTTATGCAAATGAAGAAGAAATTTGCTGTCATTAAATTAAAAGAGGGATTTAACCAAATACAAAGTAAATCTGAAATTCGTATAAATGTGACCCTGGATGTGAAAACCCAGCTAATGTCATTTTTTTTGTGATTTACTGTTGTCTACATAAAATCATTCTTCATAAGATAAAGAACATTCAGGAAGTTTTGGGATTTTAAAACAAAGAAAAGTTATGCAAATGAAGAAGAAATTTGCCGTCATTAAATTAAAAGAGGGATTTAACCAAATACAAAGTAAATCTGACATTCGTATAAATGTGACCCTGGATGTGAAAACCCAGCTAATGTAATTTTTTTGTGATTTACTGTTGTCTACATAAAATCATTCTTCATAAGATAAAGAACATCCTGTGAAAATGTAACATTGATATCTTTAATATTGACTGAGAAAGACCATGTCAAAGATTAAAATCATAGTGAAATTAATGGCTGAAATCAAACTTTGATGCTTGTTATCTCATAATTAGATTTTAGCCTGACACTTTAGCCTGGATTTCACAGAGAAGGTCACAAATTGTTCAATACAACTTTCACTCAGAAATGCTGGTAATATAATATATAATGAAAAGCGGAAGTCTCAGTGACTTTTGGTTTAACAAAAGGTTACACACACTCTCCTTATGCTAGTAATTATCATCTAGAAACAATATTTGAGCTAATTTCTGCAGTTTAATATGTTTGGTGTATAGAGAAGCATTCACAGACCATCTGATATCCTGCATACTGCTCTACTGAAGCTTTCCAAACAGCTTCTGTACCTGAGATGATCGCATCTGCCCAAACATCAGCAGTCTGAATCTCACTCTCATCTCCTCAGACCTCACGTCTGCTCTAAACCATTCTCTGCAGCAGCACTAGTGCCTACATCAATATACGCTCATCTTGTTCCTCCAAACTCTTCAGTTCTCTTCTAAATAGCTCTTTGAACCCCTGTCTGCCTCTGCAAACTATAGCATCTCAACCAGATACATTAGCACTCTTTTATGCACCGAAGTCTGGATTCCAGACCTCTCCGACTGCTCCCTTTCTGTCTGAGCTCTAAACCTCTGGCTTTCGCTGTCTCCCCTGCTGCTGTCATCCCGGGGGACTCTCAGTGGGCAGAAGCTGATTAGAGATGAATCAGACAGCTGAGAGAGGCTGAATGAGGTAAATATGCATGCAGGAGAAATCCAGCCTGGCCTTCACACATCAGAGACCATGTACACGGAAGAGAGGAGAATATCATTGGAGTTATAGTCATACAGTTGGCACTGCAGCCAACTCACTGTACAACAGACACTACAGACACTGAAAATTAAGCTGAAAAATTATAACTTTACAAATATTAGAAATTTTTGATGCAAAAAAACATCATACTAACCACTACTAACTTCATAAGCTAACCTCCAGAAACATAATATAGCGATCTGAAAACTAATTGCATGACCCCTCTTATAAAACATAATTAATTAATTGCCACATCCTATTTTTTCTTCCATATGTCATGTTCTGGGCTCTGTAGAATCACAATGCTGTTTCATGGAAAAGATGGTTAAAAATAAAAGTTGTATGCACTCTCATTATATAACCAATTTACTTATTATGGACCACTTGTATGATACTCCTATGGTGCATTTGCATCCTTTTTGAAGCTTGAAAGCTTCAGTCCCCATGGGCACTAATTGAATGGAAAAGAGCAACCAGTACAATCCTCCTTTGTGTTCCCTGGAAGAAATAAAGTCATAGGGGTCTGTAACAACATAAGCCTAAGTAAATGAAGACAGAAGTTAAATTTTTTGGCTCAAGTATTCCTTAAAATCTTTCCCTCTGTCCCAAGATGCTACCTTCCAGTGCGTCTGTCCATCTTGGTCTCTCTCCAGCAGTTCTGTCTCTCTCTCTCTCTCTCTCTCTCTGCCTCACAGCTTTTCTCTCCTTCCATCTCTGTCTGTGTGGCTGTGTGAATGGAAATCATTTCAGGCATCGCTACCCGCAGCTAATGCTGAAATGTGTTCTCTAAGGTGTCCACAGTGCATATGAATACAGTCATGCCTAAACCCAGATACCACACAGGCTGATACTCCACAAACGTGCAAACAACCTACAGGCACATAATGAAGTCCTTGCTATTTCACACACAACACAACCTTCATCATCCTCTTCTCCCCACTTAGTAATCATAAGACCTCTGGTCAGTTCTAAGACGCCTGAAGCTGTATTATAGGCATTAAAAGGTCAAAGGTCAACTCAGACACAAGGCGAATGAAGGTCAGGTGCATGTCTAAGACTTTGACCTCCGTGTAATTGCCTTAGGGCCCTTTAAACCATGTCACTGTACAGCTCCCATTTCCCGCGCTCCACTGGTCAGAAGTGCTTACAGCAGTTTGATGCTCATAATACTTCCAGTGCGCTGAGCAACAGACCACCTCCTGAGACAGTTTCACAAACCACAGACTTTCAGAAAACTTTCAAAAAACTGGTTAAGATGAAAACAGAGATTCCTTCAAACTTTACCACGTTCTTGTATCTCATGCTGGGCAAAGTATTACACTGAGAAGCATAACCTCATTGGTTTCTAATCCCAGCAATGAAAGCAACACCTCAAGAAAAACATTGCATAAATAGTGAATAACCCCTAAAATATTAAAATATGTGTAACTTTTCTAACAAATCTGCAAAAAGAGTTTATTCTTCAATGCGTTATTGATAAGTGAACTGAATCATAAGGCGAGTCCATTTTCGGTCAGATTCGAAATGAACCGGGAACCATATATTTTAGGCTTGTGCGACTTGCATCAGTCTTTTTACTACTGTAAGTTATGTCATATGACAATGAGCAAATAAAGACACATATTCAAAATAGTTTCGTTGCATAAATAATAATGCTATTCTAAAAACATTTTTATAAAAATATTTATTATTACTGAACATTCAGTATTGTTCAAATATTGTTAAGGTCAGTAAGTTTAGTACTTCTTTTTAGCAAGGATGCTTTTAATTGATCAAATTGGCCATAAAAAACTTTTACACTATTACAAAAAATATATATTTAAAATAAATGCTTTCTATTCACAAAAGAATTTTGAAAAAAAAATATATATATCACAGTTTACACAAGAATTATTTCTACAAAGTTTACACAAAAATATTAAACAGCACAACTGTTTTCAACATTGATAATAATAAGAACCATTATTAGTACTTAAGCACCAAATATGATTGACATTGAGCACCAAATTAGCATATTTAAATGATTTCTGGAGGATTATATGACTCTGAAATAATATCTGCTGAAAATTGAGCTTTGTCAAGATTAAATGACCTAAATACCATTTTAAAATCTATTAAAATAGAAAACAGTTCTTTTAAATTGTGAAAATATTTCACAATATTCCTTTTTTTAACTTTTTGATCAAATAAATGCAGGCTTGGTGAGCATAAGATACTTAAAACATTAAAAAAAAATTTGAACCGTATTGTATGGTCTCCAGTTATAAGACTTATTCGAGCATTTGGATGACATGATTCAAATATAATCAACACAACATTGTTCCAAACAAATTACTGTTAAAAAGTTAAATCCTGCATTAATTGCCTCATCAACTGGCAAGAACTGCAGATGTAAATGAGAGATACATTTCCTATAACAAGCATGAAAGGAATCACAATGTCACAGTATTTCGTCATTACACGTTACAAACATAATCACACTGTTAAAGTTTTGACTGATCTCAAAGCTTCTTAATTGTCTTGATCTCCTAATAAAGCACAGGGTGAGCGTATCATCTCTAACTAATGAAGCTTCTGTAAACCGAAACTTTAGACTGAAACATGCACAGTAACTCATGAGATCACCCCAGCCCTCCTCCTAGCTAACACACACACACACACACACAGAGAGAGAGAGAGAGAGAGAGAGAGAGAGAGAGATGCACTCTTTCTCTCCTCCATATCAATGGTGTCAGCTGAACACAGATGCCAACTGAGCGCCTGTCTCACTGATCTATTCATTACACCAACAGCACATCACTGACTCATTATTCAAGCCTTTTAGCAGATACATTCTGGAAAACATGAATGTAATAATAAAGTCAATAAAGTGGAAAAGTCCAGTAGCAACTAAAAGCGCAAATTAATGTAAGGTGTTAATGGTGAAATACAAGTGAAGAATGACGTGAGAGGAGGCAATGCCTCATGTCACTGTGATTGGCTGATCATGCAGTTAACAGGAAATTGCCCGTCTATAACAGATCCAAAAATAAACCTAAATGTATAAAAATGGTAAAAACGGACAGATTAAGCAGGCTTTTTTTTTTTGGGGTAGCAGGAGGTGCAATGGTGACAGAGAATATATACAGAGGATATATATGTAAACTAATACTATACTAATAAATATAGCCTACTATAACACTACACTAATAAATACACTATAGTAGCCTACCCTTACATCATAAAACATTTCCACACGCTACAGATGCAGGTTCTGTGCTGTCTTTGCAATGAGAAAATAGAAACAAATGGGTTAAATTATGTGGTTGATGGGAGTGAATGAAACGGGAAAGTTTAATCCATCAGATAGCCTAGTAAACCTCTGAAATATGCTCAAAAATAATATCACGTCGAGTAGCATTTGACTTCATTTTACCAGACATGACTTGAATGAATAAAAAACTTCACAGAGAAATTAATCGATCATGTTATTTCCCCCTCCCAGATGGATTCAAGGGGCTACAGATGCGGATCTAGAGAGGAGATGAGTGATGAATAAAAGAGTTGATTTTTTTTGTTTGTTATTGCTTAAATGTAACAGACAGAGATCTCTCATCTAATCCGTTTCAAATGGACTTCGATGCTCAAGAGAAACAAAGATCAACTAATGACACTCAAATAGCCTACGTTCTTAGAGCATAATAGCATATTATTAATTCTTCAAGTCAACATAATAGGCTACTGCTTACTCACGCAGTTTGTTTCAGTTATTTCCTCTCCTCATGTTCGTGCAGACGGCCGTTCACAGCAACAGTTACGTGAGCGTTTTTACTCACGCGATTCATTCATTGCTCCTGTCGGGAATTTACCGGACTGTCTCCGTATCACTCAAACGTTAACCCAGCATGTCGGTTTAAAATCCAAGCAGTCTCTCACCGGACAGACCCACGCAGCGAACCCCGCATCAGTCTCTGTATGTGTGTCTTTTTCTCTGACGAGGACGGACCGCAAGAGCCCCGGTGGTTTTACTTCTTACTGATTCTCCTTCAGCGAATGAAGTCCAACAGCAGGTCAGATTCAGGACGGTATTCGTTAGTCCTCAAGTAACGGTAAAAAGTACCATGACAGCTCCAATGAAAGTGCAGCCCACCTCACACAAACCTCATTCAACCTTCTTTCTCTGCCTCCTTCCTTTTGACTCCTCTGTTTCTGTCTCTCACACTCCCTCACTTCTTCTCTCTCTCCCCTCTCTCGCTCATGAGGCAATAATCTCATTTGCTTGGTCAGTAAAGGTGAGAGCAGATCAATCTTGATGTGTGTCTGCCAGGTTCATATAATGGTGAATAATATCAAGAAAATGTCCAGGTTAAATTTAAATATTTACATTTCAAAGTAATTATGCTTCATGGTATGTATTTATTTATTTATTTGATTGTTTGTTTGTTTGCTTGCTTGCTTGTAAAATATATTTTTTTTACAATAAATCATTGTAGTTTAGTGGCAATCATTGTTTATAAACATATAAATTAATAAATAAAATAAATGCAATTTTCATAATTATATACCATTTTAGAATATGTTGTAATATAATTTATTCAAAGCAATAAATGAAAGTGATCTTTTAAAACTGAAAAAGCAGTTGTGTATATTATAAATAAATAAATAATCATTATATCCAGACATGCTTCTCATTAAAATAATAATCATTCACAATAATGACAATTTTGAAATAATGTATTTTAAATTTGGAGAGAGGTGGGTCTTAATTGACATGCAAAAAAAAATAAAAAATCTTAATTTCTATTAAAATACACTTCAGTTTCTAAATAATAAATTATACTTTCTTAATATTTTCTTTTTGGTTGAAATATGCCCCAGATTCAGATTTATACTCATTCAGCCAAATAAAAAGTACAAATAGGCAGTTTCACAAATACAAAATAAGAACACAATGCATGTTTCTCATAAACATGATGCAGCCTCAGGTTGTGACACTGCAAGTGAAGAGCCTGAAAGAGTCTTTTCTTTCACCTCTTTAGAAATTAATGTGGGTGGTGACAGGGAGAGACAGAGAGATGTGCAAACACTAAACTGGCTAGCTGTGCTCTTCTCTAGTAACATAACCATTTAACATCTTAAACGCAGCTCAGTGTAACCTGAGAGGCTGCAGTCCAGTGCTCATGTTCAAAACCCCTGTAACAACACACCACCTGAATGCAGCCCACCACTGCAGAAATGTACTTACACAGAGGATCCACATGCCACAAGGACAGCATTTGTGGCATATTATTGATAAACCACAAAAAAAATCTGCACTTGTCCCTTATTTTGTTAAAAATTAACAAAACCAATCACGGTTACAGTGAAGCACAATGGAAGCGAACGGGGCCAGTCTATAAACGTTAAAATTCTTAATGTCATAGTATAGCCTTAAGATATGAACAATATGCATGCTATGAATTTAAGGTGAAAAAATGCTTACTAACATTTTGTTTATAGCGTCATATGCAATTTTACAACTTCATCATGACAATGCAATTGTATAAACCCTTAAACAACTGTCAAATGATTTAAATACATTTATAGCTTAAACAAATAACTTATAACTTTAATGTATAACTTAAAATACATTTTAAAAAAACTATTTAGGCCTACATTTAATATTTATGCAATTTAATTGCATATCAAATTTGCATACATTTAGAAAACACAGTTTTAACATAAACAAACTAATGAGATGCACATACTGTAAGTCAGTCTTATACTGTAAATAAAACAGGTAAGAAACAGGTAAAATTTCTGCACTCAAAAATCATAGCATAGTTTATCTCCTAGTGTCTCCTTGTCTCCAAGTGTCTCCTGTTCCTCCTAGTTCCTGGATCTAGAGGTGTGTGCTCTTCCGTGTGCATTCCAGTTCCTGCAAAAGAAAGGACTCTGATCAGTCCACTCATCATATCCTTTAAACTGTTCTACGAACCATACACTCACCGTGTCATCACCTGGATCTTACATCCGTACTCTCTGTGACCAAATAAACTTGAGTGATATACTAACCTGTTGTGTCAGACCTCTTCCATTACAGAAGACCGGACCAAAACCGACGGCACAGATGAGTTCTCCCCACGGCATGCAATCGGCTGCGTGTTTCTCCGTCCTCGCTCGGCGGGATCTCCCCTTCTACGAGTACGCCGAGGAGTTCTGCAAGCTCGCAGCGGTGACGGCGTTAGAGGACGCCGTCCTTAATCAGCTGTTCTGGCTCGGGGCCAACTACCATCGCCCCATG